ATCAGCCGAGCGTCTTCTACGAGACGAAGGTCGAGGGCTTCAACGCGCACGAGTTTGTCACGGAGCAAGTATTCTACGACAGCAAGGACGGCACCAAGATCCCCATGTTCATCGTCCACCGCAAGGGTGTGTGTGCGTAATTGTGTGTGTTTGATTGTGCGTAATTGTGTGTGTGTGTGTGTGCGTAATTGTGTGTGTGTGTGTGTGTGTGTGTGTGTGTGTGATTGTGCGTAATTGTGTGTGTGATTGCCTTTGGGGCCTTCAAGATTACTTTCATGGGGGTGTGTCCCTGTTTGTGTGCCATACCCTTATGTGCTCAGCCAGCAACCCTCACCACGCCTCGCCACACGTCATGTCACCAGGCATCCAGCTTGATGGCAGCAACCCGACGTTGCTGTACGGGTATGGCGGGTTCAGCATCTCCCTGACGCCGTTCTTCAGCGTCTCCCGCACCATCTTCTGCGGCAACATGGGCGGCGTCTTTGCCCTCGCAAACATTCGCGGCGGAAAGTGAGTCCTGCCAAAGGTGCTCGTGGTGGTGGTGGTGGTGGTGGTAATGCTATTTGTTCGTGATAGACCAGCTGTCGTACTGCGCCAACCCTTGCCAAAACTTGCCTCGTTCGACCTGCATTGCTGCGGGTGGATGAAGGTGTCGCAAAGAGCCCACATCCACCCTTTGTACCAACTCACTGCACGTGTCTGCTTCCGTGACTAGTGAGTACGGCGAGGATTGGCACAAGGCCGGCACGCTGGAGAACAAGCAAAACTGCTTCGACGACTTTCAGGTACACGCGGTCACACGTGGTCACACGTGCTGTCGGGATTGCACGCTTGTCTGTGTGTGCTCGTACACCAGTTGCTGTCCGCATTTCACGACCACGACCACGAACCTGTGCATGTACACGCAATCACGCTCGCACGCACTTACACTCACACATTTGCACATACACAATCACACACATACACAATCACACACATACACAATCACACACATACACAATCACACACATACACAATCATACACATACACAATCACACGCACCCACGCCCTCCCTGTCGTGCTGTGGCGCAAAAGGCTGCGGCGGAATATCTGATCGCCAACAAGTACACGTGCGCCAAGAAGCTGGCGATTCAAGGCGGCAGCAACGGCGGCCTGCTTGTCGCTGCCTGCGCCAACCAGGTCTGGCTGGGGCTCGGGTCCATGCATGAGGGCGCATATGGTTGTCGTGGTTTGTGGACGTCGCCTGTTCACGCTCACGTGCGCATCCTAGCTGTTGCTCTGATACAAATCTACAAAACACCAACGCCATCATTCACACACACTCGAACAGAACACCATCAAGGACACATGCTTTCGCACTCACTCACTCACTCACTCACTCACTCACTCACTCACACACACACACACACACACACACACACTCACTCACTCACTCACTCACTCACTCACTCTCCCGCTCACTCTCCCGCTCACTCACTCACTCACTCACTCACTCACTCACGCACGCACGCACACACGCACGCACGCACGCACACGTGTGCACCCCAGCGGCCGGAGCTGTATGGGGCGGTGATTGCGCAGGTCGGCGTGATGGACATGCTCCACTTCCACAAGTTCACCATTGGTACGCTGCTGCCGTGTTTGTGTGCGGCTTTGCTGTGGTTTGTTGGTTGGATGTTTTCAATAGGCTGGCATGCGAGCACTTCACATGTTTAAAATGCCATGCGAGCACAACACAGGACACCAAGTCCAGCTAACCTCAATCACGACAGCAGCAGCACATGTCCACTCCTTTTCACTCACGCGCATGCAACCCTACGCCATCCCCCTCTTCCCCTCTTCATGTCTGTGATCCACCACAGGCCATGCGTGGACGACGGATTTCGGGTGTGCGGATGACCCGGAGCAGTTCAAGTGGCTCATCAAGTACTCGCCCATCCACAACGTCAAGCACCGGCCAGACGCCCAATACCCGGCCATGCTGGTGCGCCTCACACACGCGTTGTCTACAGTAGTATGTGTATGTGTGTGTGTGCGTGTGTGTGTGTGTGTGTGTGTGTGTGTGTGTGTGCGTGCGTGTGCGTGCGTGTGCGTTGGAAGCTGTGCTGTGGTGTTGCCATCTCTAATTGCAACCACAACCTAAACCAACGCCTGACTGCTTGTTTGCGCATTACTACACAGCTGCTGACGGCGGACCACGACGACCGCGTTGTGCCGCTGCACACGCTCAAGCTCATCGCCACCCTGCAGCACGAGCTCGGCGACAAGGAGAACCAGGTGAGGCAGCGGCGGTCGTGGCGGTGGCAGTGTGGTGGCCAAGGGCGAGCGTCATCGATGGACAGGGTGATGTGCAGGATGGTGTACAGTGCTCGGTGATGTGCTCGGTTGATTGTCTTCTCACGCAGACGTACAATGCCGTGACGTCCTGTTGTGTGGTGTTGTTCCTCGCAGACCAACCCGTTGCTTGCACGCATCGAGGTTAAGGCTGGACACGGCGCAGGCAAGCCGACACAGAAGCGGGTACGCCAGTGTGTGTGTATGTGTGTGTGTGTGCGTTGTGTGTGTGTGTGTACGTGTGTTGTGTGTGTGTGTGTGTGCGTGTCGTTGTGTGTGTGTGGGTGGGTGGGTGTGCGTGCGTTGTGTGTGTGTTCCCCCTTGTGTGTGTGTGTGTGTGTGTGTGTGTGCATCTGCCAGAGCAACCCTATTTCGCTGCTGCATCTCTATCTTCCCCTGCCCTTTGCTGTCACTCCATGCGCTTTGGCCCTCTGGTTTGCTCATCATTGCCATCTCACACGTGTTCTTCTTTTCGTGCGCGCGCGCACACACACACACAAACATTCTCTTCGCTTCGCAAGCTGGAGGAGATGGCGGATGTGTTTGCGTTTATGGCCAAGACACTGGACATTCAGTGGACCCCTCCCGCTTCCGCCTGAGACAAGCGTTACCAACACACACACACATACACACACACACACACACACGCACGCACACACACACACGCACACACACACACATTTGTTGTGCACAGCGGAGGTGCAAGCCACCGTGTTCAACCTCCTCCCTCCAACCTTGTCGTGTGAGAGCGTGACCAACAACAATAAACACAGCCACAACAAAATGAACATCCACATATCGATGCACGTTGTCTTTGTTGGCAAGCCATTTGAAAGGTTTGTGGCGTGTTGTGTGCATGTGCGTTTGAAAAACGGTTGCATTGCCTTTGTCTCTGTTGGTGCTGGCGACGTTTTGATGTTTTGTTTTGGAGGTTGTGCACGCACTCACGACTTGCCTTTTGTTCGTGGCTGCATGTCTTGTGCAGTGTCTTTGTTTGTGGCATGGTCCCAGCACAACAACGACGCGTTGTCACGCAATTCGCATGACGCTATGACGGCCATTTGCAAGACGACGTGCGCTGCACACCACTTCCACTGCACGAGAGGGTTTCCCACGCACACAACTTTTGCAAGTCGCATTAGTCAGCAAGCCTACATGACACCCAATGCAACCAACAAAGCTGAAACAAGAGCACCCACAAACCACATCAGCAACGTCCGCAAACATGTCCATGTTACTATGTTAGCTGTTGACCCTCTCAACCTGAGCGACCTAGCTGAAGTGTCGACGTGTTTTGCTCTTTTACTGTTTGCGAGGTCGACAGCCAAACCGAACCTTCTCCTTCTCACCTTCATGTGTCTGCGTGTGTTGGACACGACTTCCACCACCTTCTTCTCCTCCATTCGTTGTTTGTTTGGTTTGTGCGTTTGCCACACGTTTTCTGCAGACGATACCACGACCAACAGCAGCAATGCTTGCTCACGCGTCCATACATACGACTCGCGCTTGCGTGCTTTGTCTTGCTCGCGCTGTTGTGCCCATTTTGGCGCCAAAACATCCACGTCTCGTGCCCACACATCACAAGCGCAGATGCTCCAATGCGCACGAAGCGCACGTATCGACCGGCACCGTGAAATCTGACCCGACCCCATGTTTTGTAGTCGTGGCGCACTGAAATTTTCGTTGTTGTTGTTCGCTCAAGCAAGCAACGAGAGGGCGCTTATCAGCAGCGGTGCAGTGGTGCTGTGTGGGAGAAATGTTTCGTTTGCGGTTCTTCTGCTGGTGTGGTTGGTTGGTTGGACAAGAGCAGACCATTCTGCGTGCTTGGGGAACAGCGCGGTGGCGCGTGAGCGATTGCGAGACACCCGAGATCGGTGGTTCGTTGCGGTGAAACGTGCGGGTTTCGCCAAGACGTGCAGAAAGTCACAAACGCGCACAACAACGCAAGCAAACAGCAGCAAGACGACGGCGGGTGTTGCTTTGGTTGTGTGCGCGATGACACAATAACCGAAGCGCATGCATAGCACCCCCTCCCCCCGCCCATTCATTCAGCAACCTCGCATCTTCCATCAGCACTCGCGTCAACACTTGCAACCAACAAACAACAACACCAACAACAACAACAACAGCAGCGAGGGACGCACAGACAAAAAGAGCGCGCCAGAAACGCACCTGTTTCTCATTCCATTCCCTCTCTCTTCCATATCCTTACAGTTGGCTTGGTCGTGCCTTTTGGTTGGCTTTGCCTTTTGCTTTTGCTTCAGCAGGTGACAGTGTTTGTCGTGTTTGTGTTGTTTGCATTTTCACCTCCTCCTTCGCCAACGCAAACACCACCCCGCCTCCTCCCTCCGAGCGTGTTGAAGCTTGTTTGGTGCTGTTGTTTGTGTTTGTTGTTCATTGATGTGACATTTATTGTTTCGAGCACACCCTTCTTCTCTGACACGTTTGAGCGTGTTCGTGCCAGGCAGTGAGAATTGATGAGCGCCTTTGCTTTTGTTGGAGCAACCCCTTCCTTCCCCACAATACTTTTGCGCTGCTTCTCGCTCAAGCACGTCTGAACCATTTCCCTCCCCCCCCCCCTCTCTGATACAGCAATCACCCTCGCTTCCCTTCCCTCGCCTTTTGCTTCCCTTGCTTCCCTTGCTTCCTTGCCTTTTCTCCCCACCTTCTTTCCTTCCTTGCTTCCACACACGACGACGACGACGATGCCCGGCAAGCCCAAGCGGGCCTTTAGCCAGCCGTTGGACGGCCAGCACCCGGACCACCACAACCCGCCCATCGCCGTTGTGCCGCCACACTTGCAGCAGTACTTGCCCACCAGCAGCGCTGCCGCTGCCGTCGCCACCACCACAAGCAGCACCACAAGTAGCAGCAGCAGCAGCAAGGCGGCACGCAAGAAGACCAGGCGAAAGAGCACCAGCAGTGGCAGCGGCGGCGGCAGCAGTGGCAGCTACGGGCTTCGCCGCATGAGCGCCTCGCAGCCAACCACCCAGCCCCGGCCCGTGCCCATGCGCCCTCGACGTGGCGCGCCCCGCGCGTTCCCCTCCCAGTTCCATCGCCTCCAGGCAAGCGGCGCCGCCAGCGCGCTGTGGAGCCCAATGCACATGCGCTACAGCGCGGCTGAGCTGCTGGACACCACCTCGGACAGCAACTGCGTCACCTCCGCCGACGACGACGAGGACAACGAGGTGGACGAGGTGGACGAGGAGGCCGTCATCCACAACCCCCCAGATGACGCTGGCGACCGCGCCGTCTTCACGCAGCACGCGCCCTACGCGTCCGCCTTCACCTTCACCTCCACCCCCACCAACCCCAGCAGCAGCAGCAGCAGCAGCAGCAGCAGCATTTTCGGCTTTGCGGGCGCCGCCCTGCACAACGACAGCACCGGTCACGATGATGATGATGATGGTGATGATGGTGATGACGACGATGGCACGGCAATGGACATGGACATGGGCATGGACAGCCACGCCGCCGATGACGACGACGACAGCGATGTTGATGTGGACGAAGGTGATCTGGCTGTGCTGAAGGTGGCACAGGTGGCACAACAGGCTGCAGGAAGCCAGAGCAGGCCCAAGCCGGCGCTTGCGCAGACGCAGCCCATTGCAGCCGGCATCGCCGCCTTCCAATCGCCGTGCGCGCCTCGCACGCGGCGCCGCGTCACTCCTCGCCTCAGCATCAGCCATGGCAGCGGTGGCAGCCCGCAGCAGCAGACTGCCGGGTGCCCTGCGTGTGCCGAGGAACCGCGCCCCAACATGGTCTGGTTTGTGGGCCACCAACAAGGGCACTGCGACGAGCACGTGCACGTTGTTGCGCGGGACGGGCCCAAGGATGCGCTCAAGATCCGCCACTACCTCGCCCGCCGCAGCAATCCAGGCGTGCCGGTACGTCTTTTGTGTTTTGTTTGTTTGTGTTTTGTTTGTTTGTGTGTGTGTGTGTGTGTGTGTGTGTGTGTGTGTGTGTGTGTGTGTGTGTGTGTGTGTGTGTGTGTGTGTGTGTGTGTGTGTGTGTGTGTGTGTGTGTCGTCGTCTCTCTCTCTCTCTCTCTCTCTCTCTCTCTCTCTCTCTCTCTCTCTCTCTCTCTCTGTCTGTCTGTCTGTATGTTTCCACCACTGTATGCCTCCCGACATCGTTCAAAGGCACTCACCCCCCCCCCTTGCCAACCACTGTCTCGCAAAACAGTGCAGGATGCTGACGCTGCCTGAGGAAATGGTGCAGGCGAATTGACCTATCCCACCGCGATGACACCCGCTCACGTTCTCTCTCTGTCTGTCTCTCTGTCTGTCTCTCTCTATTTCTCCTTTGTATCATCTCCTGTGCAATGGCCATCCCCGTGTGCCTGTCCTGCAGACACACACGCGTTTGTTTTTCTCCCTGTGGCACACAGAGCGCTGGGCGTTCTCCGTTGCTTCGTGTATGTGCGCGTGTCTGTGTTTGCGCGCGTTTCGGTGCGTTGTCTTTGCGCATGCGCCGCGCTGTTCTAACTGCTTTGCTGTTCTCTCTGCTGCTTGGCACTTTGTTGTATGGTGTCTTTTATTTTCCACCACCATTTCGTGCCCACAATGTGACATTGTGACTGACCTGCTTGATGACCTAACTGAAGATATGTGCGGCTGGCTTCCTCCTGCTGCTGCTTTGCTGTTAAATGTTGTTTGATGTTTATTGTTGCTGCTGTTGGTACATAGTGCCTTGCCTGTCCCCGTGTTATTTTTGTGCTCGCCCACACGGCAACCTCGCGCCCTCTCGCTCCCCATGCACTGCTGCGACTGGGCATGCGTGCTCCTCGTGCTTCTGGTGTGACGCGCTTCCCACAGCTGCGCCTTCACCACACACACGCATGCACGCATTTGCGCGCCCTTTTTTTTTCCTTTGGTTTCTACGCTGCCACTGGTGCTCGTGCACACTTGGCAGTGCACATGAAACAATGGCGTGTGATGTGACAGTCACTCTACCCTCCCTCTTCTCCCTCCTTCCTTTGCCCCGCTGCATGTTGTGTTCATGATCACATGCACCATGCATTGCTGCCGTCACGTGCATGTCGCAGGGTCGTTTGTCGTTTGTCGTGTGCGTGTTTGAGCCTACTGAATCGTCGCTTCCGTGTTGTTCTTTTCTGAAACATTAAACTACGCCCCCCCCATGCCTGCTTGCCAACACTTGAAACCGCCTACTGATTGGCTGCCTCGCCACACACCAACTCAAAACCTTCGCTTTGCCAAGGAACGTGAGAAAGGTGCAAACACACACACACACACACAGACACACACACACACAGACACACACACTCACACTCACACACGCACACACACACACACACACACACACGTGCACGGCACGTGGTGTTGAACAGTGGGCTGGTTGTTTACTGGTGATTTATGTACAACAAAGGAGAAGAGGCGGGAGCACCAAGAAGAAACAAAACTGGAAGGAGTTAAGAGCGAGAGATAGGCAAGCAGTGCAACTACTGGCAAAGGCACTGAAAGGACTGATGTGAACAAGCGCCATGCGTGCAAGCGCACACAGTCATGTCAGACGCATGTCACAGCAAGCCAGTCATTGCTGGTGCTCGCGCTGCTTCCGCAATGCCTCCTTGCGCTTGCGCGCCTTGGCCAAGTTCTTTTGTCGCTGCGCTTCCCGCTGTCAGGTTGCGTGTGTGTGTGTGTTTTTTTTTTTTTTTTGGGGGGGGGGGGCGGCAAACAAAAGTGTGAATGACAGCAACACTCGTGCTGTATGCGTACGTGTCACGTACGATGGGGCAGGTTGAGGAGGGGAGGGCAAGCACCTCCGCGCCACCAGCTCAAAGCACGTCAGCACACACACACACACACACATACACACACACATACACATACGCACACACATACACACACACACAATCCAAAACGTACTGCTTCCTTCAGGCACTTGTCCAAGGCACTGTTGATTTCGTTGCAGGCGCCCATCAGCTTGGCTTTTGGGTTCTAACAAGAGGCAAAGCCAAGCAAGCAAAGTGCACCAGCGCACACACGTCAAAATGTCAAACAAAATCCACACAATGCACACGCAACGCAAGATGAAAGCAGATGGCAATTCCGGTTGCAAGCAACAGGTCCACAAGCACACTAAACAGAGAGGATAGACATCCCGCCTCCCTTGCGCGTGGGCTCGAGCCTCACCTCCTCGTGACACTGGCGCAGTGCCTTGATGAGGTGCGCGCACTCGGGGCGCAGCTCTTCGCTCAGCTGCGGGTGCATGGTACGAGTGCGTGTGTGGTGCAAGCAGTGTGATGGCGCGGCGGAACCAGCAACAGGATAAAACTGTCCACGACACCATGAAATCAGTCCATATCACCCTCCGCTTTTTCTGCGCTGAGCACTTTCCCAGTCGCTGCTGCTGCTGCTCGCATCCACCACCTGCTCTGCTCTGCTCTGCTCTACTCTGCTCTCGTGCTCCTTCCTTCCCGCCCTTTGTTTTGTCTGGTCTGCCACCATGTCCTCTGGAAAGGAGTGGGATCGCAATGGCTCGTTCATGAAGAAGCCCTCCACGGGATGGCTGCATGACGACCACGCCCTCATGAACGGCGACGGCATCTTCTACGCTGTCCGCGTACGTTGCTCTCCTGCCTCTCCCACTTGTTCCCGTTTTGCTATGTTGACTGTCTGTGTGGGTGTGATGTGGAGTGATGTGATGTGACATGACGTGGAGTGGTGTGCTGTGTGTTGTGTGATGCGATGTGATGTGGAGTGTTGTGACGTGGTGGGAGTGAAATGCTATGGGCTGGATCGAACACATGACACACTCCCGTGGTTGCAGGACACTTGTGCATGTGTGTGCGCATGGGTGTGTGTATGTTTACTGCGGTTGGTTGGGATCTACAAGCGTGCGTGCGCCATTATTCACTTGCTCACCCCACCCCACCCCCGATACACGTCTGATCGCCTTGTGATCCGTAGTATGTCGGCAGCATGCGCATGGACCGCTCCATGCGGACCATGGACTTCAACACAAGAACTGAGGTCACCAGGTGAGATGTCCACGCGCACAAGCGTGCAGCCCACTGCTGGCGGCGATGCACATCGTGTTCCTAATGAGCTTCTTGTTTTGCCCACGCTTCTTGTTCCCACGCTGTTCGACTCATGCGCACACACACACACACACACGCACGTCCATTGCACAGAGAGGCCATCAAGCTTGTGTGCGAAGCTGCAGGCTTGCTCCCACCCAAGAAACGCAAAGTGTCGCAGATTGTCAAGGAGACACTGACACGTACGTGCTCGTGGCGCTGGCTGGTCGAGCCTGTTGTGCTCCTCCTTTTCTTCCTTCGATCCTCCTTTTCCTGCATTGCCCCTCCTTTTCTTCCTCTGGCCCCTTCATGTCTGTCTGATTCGGATTAATCGCTGGCAATGTGGCGAGTGTGGCGTTCCACAACCTCTCACGCGGCACGTGCTTCGCCTGTAGACGACCCTCTCGTGCGCAACTGGGACGTCAAGTTCACCATCTCCACCGGCGGCATTGCCCTTGTCGTTGTCCAGACCAACGAGGTGTGTGTTTATGTGTGTGCCTCTGTTTATGTGTGTGTGTGTTTCTCTCTCTCTCTCTCTCTCTCTCTCTCTCTCTCTCTCTCTCTCTCTCTCTCTCTCTCTCTCTCTCTCTCTCTCTCTCTCTCTCTCTCTCTCTCTCTCTCTCTTTGTGTGTGTGAGGAAGTTTAGAATAGCTTTCACTCTCCGTCGCTGTACCTGTACGGCACGCAAACACACACACACACACACACACACACACACACACACAAACACACACACACACACAGTCTCCCTTCTCTACGTTTTGGCGTGGTTGTGTTGCTGATACACTCCCAACTCAACCAACTCACCCCCCTTCCTTCCCTTGTCCATGATGCAGGTGATTGCAAACCACATCATGCCGGCCATCTCGTTTGCCACGGGCGGGTCGTCGCACGACTACACCACGCTCGCCTACGTCGCCAAGGACAGCCGCAACGTGCGCGAGTGCCACGTGTTTGAGTGCAGCGACATGGCGCAGGAGATTATGGCCACCATCGGGCAGGCCTTTGAGCTGCGTTACAAGGCGTTCCTCAAGAAGTCCATGGAGCGGCAGAACATGCTTGCGCAGCAGCCCGTCCAGTCGCAGGCCATCTACGGTGACAGCTCCGGTGTCACGTACCAGAGCGCACAGCAGGTCAAAGGTGCGTTCAATTGTGTGTCTCGTGTGTGTGTGTGTGTGTGTGTGTCTCGTGTGTCTCGTGTGTCTCGTGTGTTTGATTGATTGTTTTTTTTTTTTGTGTGTGTGTGTGCGTCTCATGTGTCGTGTGTGTGGTGTGCCTGTGCTCCTTCTCGCGTGTTTGTGGTGTGGCACAACCCACGTGTTGTTGGTCTCCAATTGCAAAACAACCGCCTCCTCCAACCCCCCCTTCACTCCTCACCTTCCCCCCCCCTTTCAAATTTTCTGTTGCGTGCAGGCCAGTACGACGACCTGCCTGAGGTGGACGAGTATGGTGGCGACGACGCATATGGGGACATGGACAGCTATGGTGACACGGGGTACCCGCAGGTCAACCCGCACGACCCGGCGTACGACGCTGTCGACGACGACGGCATGTATGGTGATGTGGAGGGCGTGACGCCCACCGGTCTCAACAATCCGGGCTACCTTGATGTCTCCATGGGCCCCGTCTACGACAACCCCAACGCCCAGCAGGTGTGGGTAGTGTTTGCTTGTTGTGCGTTGTGCGTATGTGTGCGTGCACATGTGTGCGTGTGTGTGCGTGCACATGTGTGCGTGTGTGTGCGTGTGTGTGTGTGTGTGTTCTGCGGAACTGCGTACAGTGTCCTTGCTGAACTGAACCCCTCATGCACACACACGCAACACGCACGCACACACGCACGCAATACACACGCACCCACTCTACCCACCGCCAACCGCCTCGGCATTGCGTGCGTGCACGACACAGGGCGGCGCGCGCGTGGGCAGCGACCCGGCGTACGACAACCCGCAGGACGTGCTTGCAGAGGGGCGACAGCAGCAGCAGCGGGTGCAGCTGGAGCACGCCGACTACGACTACGCAACAGACATGCCGGACTACGAGGAGGACTTTGAGGTCGACGTCGACGACCTCATGCAGGTGAGGCCGCAGTGCTGCTGGGTTGGTTGTTGGGTGTGATGATGGCTATGATGGGCGTGGTGCAGTGGCGGTTGTTGTTGGTTGGTTGTTTGGGTGTTAATGGCGGTGGTGGCCGTTAGTGGCAACGCACGCGTGGCGCCTGTCTCCCTTGGTATCAAGGTGCTTGCCACTGCTGTCTCTGCTTCACTGCACGCCACCAAATACAAAGCAACTCGCCCAACTCGCCCAACTCAATCCACACAATACCGCACGCCCACCAACCCCTCCCCCGCTTCCCTCTCCAACCTTTCCTTCGTGCACCAGGCGCCGAGTGCGGGTGCGCAGCGGGAGTTGAGTGCGGAGCCGTGGTTCCATGGGCAGGTCAGCCGCGCCGCTGCAGACTCCATCCTCCAATATGACGGCGACTTCTTCGTCCGCGAGAGCATGCAGTCCCGCGGCCAGTACATCCTCTCCGCCATGCACAAGGTGCCGGGCACAGGGGTGATGGGTGTGTGTGAATGTGTGTGTGTGAAGGGTTTGTGAATGTGTTTGTTAATGTGTTTGCTAATGTGTAAATGTGTGTGTGTGTGTGTGTGTAAATCTGTGTGGCTGTGTCCGTGTTCGCGCTTGTCGCAGCTTGGTTGCATTTGTCGATACTTGCAGAGACTGCGTTTGTACAACTCGTGATTTTGAACTCCACATTCACTGAGCTCAAAAAATTCCACCACACCACTAACTTCGCATGTATGTGCATGTGTGTATGTGTGTGTATATGTGTGTGTATGTGTGTGTGTGTGTGCACAGGGCGAGAAGAAGCACCTGCTGCTGGTTGATCCGTCGGGTCAAGTCCGCACAAAGGACATGGCCTTTGACTCCGTCTCGCACCTCATCAACTACCATCTCCGCGCTCGCCTCCCCATCATCTCCCGCGGCAGGTGTGTGTGTGTGTATGTGTCTGTGTGTCTGTCTGTGTCTGTGTGTGTGTGTCTGTGTGTGTGTCTGTGTGTGTCTGTGCATGGTCTGTGCCCCCTCCCCCTCCCCGCATCCCCGCTTTCTTGTCTGCTCTCCTTCCTTCGCCGTTCCCCCCCCCCCTCCACCTCACTCGTCCACAACCTCGTCACCCCACTGTGTCGTCCCTGCAGCCGCATCGTGCTTGGCCAGGCCGTCCGCGCCCTCCCCGGCGGATACGCCAAGCTCGCAAAGAAGTAGACCAGCGCACGCACACACACACACACACACACACACACACATGAGCACACGTTTCTGGTTTTCAAGTGCATGCGAGCGTGCACGTGTTTCTTCAGAGCAGCAGATGATCTTTTTGTGCCCGCTGTTCCGCTCCTCCTCCCTATACGAGAGTTGTCGTTCTTCCCATCCTTCGCCTGGGGGGGGGGGGTGTTGTCTGTTTCCCTTTTCTCTCCTAATTTCGCTGTTGGTGCCGTGTTGCAATGCATCTCCGTTATCTCCTTCTCTCCTCCTCCGATGCCCAGGCTTCCCTCCTTTCTTTCTTTCCTTCCTGCTTCCCTCCCTGCTTCCTCGCTCGTCACTGCTTCTCCGTCACTCCCAATCAAATAGCGCCTTCGCCTTTGACTTCAATCGCAGTCGTGTCACACACAACCCTAACCCCCTCCCCCGGCTGCAATCCTTGTAACACACACACACACACACACACACACACACACACACACACACACACACACACACACGCACACGTGATGTGTGGGTCTGTCATTGCATCGGTTTAGAGAGTGAATCAGAGCAACAAGGACGACGACGAAGAGGAGTGTGCATGTACAGGAGAGGAGAAACCATGATAGCAACCGATGAAAAACACACACACACACACACACAACAACACAACAGCAATACGAGCGGAACCACAAGCAGAAACAGGGGAGTGAAGGGCCAGATATGCAAGTGGCCATGAACACGCGTTATCACGGTGCATGACGAGGAGGAGGAAGGAGAGGGGGTGGTGGTAATCTAACCAAACAACAAAAGAATATGGAAGCTTGTGCTCCAGAGCAAGGTGCCGTGCATGCTGGTGTTGTGTTATGTTTGGTGTGCAGTACCAGCCGAGCCACAACACCACGCCACACTTTGTCACAGCACAAGACTGCTGCACAACACGGCATTGCACGGAGAGCGTGTGTTGCATCACCCGGCTTACTCGACGACAGTGCCGAGCTTTGTCTGGTTCCAGATGGTTCGCAGCTCGTTGAAGACCTTCTTCGCACCAAAGCACGACACGCGCAACTCAGAGTGTGTCTCGTCAGCCGCACAGATTGTGATGGTTCCTCTGCGAAAGTAGGAAGGGGCGTGTTGTGAAGCAGGGTGGTGCACGCAAGGAGGACGGGGGTTGAGGTATGGGGAAATGGGTGGGGGAAGATGGATGCGCGTGTACCAGCATGCAAAGCGATTGATGAGCGTGTGAACACAGGCAGGAGGTGGCAAGTTGTTGAGGGAGAGGGGGGAGAGGGGGGGAAGCATGTACGCACTGTCACACGCAGACACAGGTGCACACACACACAGAGGCATATCCACACGCAGAGGCATTTCCACACAGTGACACTTACGCACACAGACATACACACACAGACACACCTGTTGATGCACATTTGGAAGCAGGAGCGGTCAAAGCCAATGTCCTTGACACGGCGCAAGTCAAGTGTGTCCTCGTTGCCAAAGCAGCAGCCAGATGCCGTGTCAATGCGCTTCGTTGTCACCTTGATCTTCACTGTCGCGTGGTGTGTGTGGTGTGGCGTTGGATGAGTTGGCATCACATCATATCTATTGGCAATGCCGATGCAACACATGCACTGCCCGACACTCCAACAAGCCAGCACTCGCCCTCATCTCTCGTGATGTACACATGTTTGCCCTGTGGGCTCTGGTGAAGTGAAGTGCACACATCCCCACTCGACCAACCTGGTGAGCAGGCGATGCACGACAGGAGGCAGTACGGATACAAGGTGCGGGTGAAGATGACTTTGGAGTTCTCTGTCTCGTCATACGACGTTTCCTTGAACTTTGGGTTCTCCTTGCCGCAGTTGGTGCAGAATCTGCAAGTTGTGCAAGTTGTGTGTGTGTGTATTGTTGTTGTTGTTGTTGTTGTTGTTGTTGTTGTTGTTGTTGTTGTTGTTGTTGTTGTTGTTGTTGTTGTTGTTGTTGTTGTTGTTGTTGTTGTTGTTGTTGTTGTTGTTGTTGTGTGTGCAAGTTGTGTGTGTGTGTGTGAGTGAACGTTGTGCAAGTTGTGTGTGCAAGTTGGTGTGTGCAGCAGTTGATGGCTCCACGCGATGTACAAACAGTCCCATCTCTGGACGCAACGCATTTGCGACTACCATCACCACCAGCCAGCCAGACAACCAGCACAACATACACAGTACCGTCGTGTGCCGACGACCTCCTGGCACTCGATGCACTTGTCCTGGGCGTTCATATTGATGATGCGTAGCAGCTGTTGTTGTTGTGATGGGCGAGAGGCAGGGAGCGATGACAAAGACGAAGCAAGCAAGAAGGTGGTTTGTGTGTGCAGTTTGGTGGTGGCGATGAGTAGGCGTTCACAATGCGCACTGTATGTAAGTTTCTTTGCTGTAAATTGTGTGGATTTCGCTGCCATGGTGGATAGCACGGACACGCCCTCCCTGTTTTACCACTCCTCCCACATCAGCACGACTTCAACCCTGAACCTTGCTGCCTTGCGTCGCTCGCGTGCTTCGATTGTTTGCTCACCATGGCGGAACTCCACGCAGAAGTGCCTCCAGGCAGCCATGTATGTGCTGTGCTGTGTGTGTGTGCATGTATGTTTGTGTGTGTGTGTGTGTGTGTTGTGTGGTGTGTGTATGTATGTGTGTTTGTGCATGTGTGTGTACACGTGCTGACCACACACATCCAACCTGCCGCTTGTTTCACTGCCATCCCTGCCACTTGTACTCACACACACACACACACACACACACACACACACACACACACACACACACATCACTTCTCCCTGTCCCCTCCTCCCTCTCTCACGCACCCGTACACAGCTGACAGAGAGGCAGATGGAAGATCTGAAGACAACATTCCGCAAGGTATTTCGACGCTGCACCGCTCTGCGCGCGCACACACACAAGCTAACATGCACATGAACTTTCTCTCTCTCTCTCTCTCACTCTCACACACACACACGAACATGTATTCACTCTCTCACACCACACCAACTCGCTCTCTTGCGTGCACTGCATCAGTTTGACGCGAATGGCAATGGCGTGATCACACTTGAGGAGCTCAAGCAAGCCATCGCCAGCGTCTCCTACCGCAGGTCACAGGACCCAGAGGGTAAGCGCGCTGTTTTGCCACAATACAGCTCGCCATCACACAAGCTCGCAAAGCGCGCTCGTTTGCCGCAGACACACACACACACACACACTCACTCACTCACTCACACACACACACTCACACACTCACACACTCACACACACGCAGCCGTGGCCATGGAGATGCTGTCGCTGTCGGATGAGGACAAGGACAAAGGAGTGACGTTCCAGGAGTTTGTCAACTCCATTGTGTACCGCACCAACCCGCAGGGCCAGAGCACCACCGGGTTCAGGTCGCTGGTGAAGAAAGTGGCGCTTGCGTACGTCAAGAAGTCCGAGCAAGCCAAACAAGAGGACTACCTCGACCAGTACAAGTTCTGGCCCCCACCCGTGTTTATGCTGCTCATCACTATCGTCATCATCATTGTCAGTGCCCATTTGACACGGCTTGCACTGAATGGCAATCCTTCTGTGCCGTCACCGCAGCACCACGTGCATTCACGGTTCCTGTTCACAGTGCGCGGGTCATCATCTCACACTTACCCCCCCCCCCCACACACACACACACGCACACGCACACACTTACTCCACGCACACACACACACCACTGTATCTCCTCATCTCTGCGGCTGCTGCAGGTGTTTGCCGTGTACTCTGCGCGGGAGTGCGGCCCCGACGTCGACCTGGAGTGCCCCGTCAGCTTCTCCAGCGAGCTCGCCTTCCGCCCAGGCTGCAGGGTACACCCCCCACCCTCTACCTCTTGCTGCGCTCGACACAAGCTGCTGTTGTTGGCTGTTGCGTTGCGTGCCCTTCACTGCTGCTTGCGGCTCCACGTTGGTTGTGGCAGTGGTGCCAATTCTTCTAGTGGTCACTCCCTCGCCTTTGTCAACTCACCGCCTGGCGTTACTCACCCGCTGGTTTCTGCAGGAGGAGGTGTACCGGTTCATCACATACATCTTCGTGCACGCCGGTATCACCCACATCCTCTTCAACTGCCTCCTCCAGGTGCGGGCGAACACCACACTCCCCGTGCTTGATGCTCGGTTGCTTTCAAATTTGACACTGGCTCCACCTGTTGATGCATCCAGTCTTTACAGCTTCAGCACAACAGCATACACCATACACACGTACACACACACACTGACACTCACATACACACTCACACACATACACATACGCGCGTGCGCGTCTGCTTCGAACCCCCACCCCCTCCCCGTATAACGCGTCAACCATGACGTCCTCCCATCTTAGGTGATTGTTGGCATTCCGCTAGAGCTGGTGCATGGCCCGCTGCGCATCATGGGTGTCTATCTTCTCGGCGGGCTCGCAGGCTCGTTTGCATCCTCCGTGGTAGACCCAAACGCGAACCTCGTCGGGTCAGTCTCTTGAGCTACATGCCCTGGGTCGTATGTCGATGTAAGAGGAGGTGCTCGCTTTGCTTCGTTGCGCTTTCTCGCGTGTTTTTCGTCATTGATTGTCATTCACAGCCCGCTCTCTCTCTCTCTCTCTCTCTCTCTCTCTCTCTCTCTCTCTCTCTCTCTCTCTCTCTCTCTCTCTCTCTCTCTCTCTCTCTCTCTCTCTCTCTCTCTCTCTCTCTCTCTCTCTCTCTCTGTCTCTCTCTGTCACTCTCTCTATCTCTCTCTCTCTCTGTGTCTCTCTCTCTCTCTCTCTCTAATTTTCTCTTCTTTCTAACACATATTATCTCTATATATATCTCACACTCTCTCTCTCACACACTCACTCTGTCACGCACTAACACTGTGTGTAC